TGACACAATGGCTGCATTGATGGGCTCAAACAGAAGAACAATTGTGAGGACCAAACATAAGAACAAGTGTGAGGATGGCATTGTATATAGGGTCGTTATAATTCAAAACTGACATGAAGGCAGCTAACAACAATACAAATATGGTTGTTGTTGTTGTCACGTGCCTTCAATCCATTCCAATTCATAGTCAGCCTACAAAACAGAGTAGACCTTCCCCCTGAGGTTTCCAGGGCTGAGATCTCTGCAGGAGCATATTGCCAGGTCTTTCTCCCCTGGAGCCACCATCCATTGGCTCAGCAGCCTAGGGCTTCACCACTGTGCCACCAGTACCCCTCTTAAAGTATGATTAGAATTGCTGTTCAAGTACTATTCGTAGAGGGAAAATCTGAAGAAAAATATTTCTTGACAGTTTGGATTAAATCAGATTTAGTATTAACACTTGTTTTAAGGCTAAAATTTCGCAGAATAGCAGTTCCTTTGCCCCCTACCCGAGCCTTGGAATTCAGGCAGGTCCCACTTACTAAAGCAGGTCTTTATGGGACTTGGAAAATCAGCACAATATAGTAGAATGAACAAGGGACTCAGAAAACTGAGCTCAAGTTTTAGCTCTGATGGGCAGCTGGGACAAGTCACTTAATGTTTGGGGACCTCAGAGTCCTCATGGATGAAGTAGAATAATCTGCCTTGCAAGCTGTTTGTTAAAATAACTATATCATATGATGAACATAAAAATCATGTTTGTAAAACTGTAAGATTATAAATATATATGTTTACATGAGTATATGTATACATATATACACATATACGTAACTACCTATGTATGTAATTTTTTAAATTGTAGGACAAAATATACAACATTATCAAACTAGATAACTGATAGTGGCTAACAGCCAAATAAAACTGAACCTAAAAGAAGGTATGTGATCAGCACTGCTCCCCATCCACTTCTGGGACAGATTTGTCCTTTCCTCCATTAAAAGGGTACGGTATGTCACGCAGACACCAGCACTACATCCATGATATTCAGGCTTACAAATTGGTGAGTGTGCTTATTTTTCATTTCTTTAATGAGGTACGCTGGGCTGAGCACCTGTCAACAGCTGTGACCTGGATACCTTACCATTGCTCCTCGGCTCCTTGTGTGTATTAATCTCAAGTGGCAAGCCAGCACTGGTCATGTTTGCCAGACTTTGACTTATTTTAGTTCATTTCCTTCCAGTTATCTAATAAATCGTATCCTTGTTAGTATTCCTAAATTAGAAAGTTGTCAGCTATTTCAAGTAATAAAAATGCTCATCTCGGTTCCTTTGAGGTCAAGTTCGGATGGCCATTCTGTGTAAGGCTAATGCACTCTTGCATTATAACAGATCCATAGGATCATGCAAGGTCCTGGGCACACACAAGGAAGAAGATGAGATGAGAGTCTTGTTGAGCTATCTCCATGATATGACTTGTTTAATTTAAAAAACAGCCGTGGTTACTGGTATGAACCTATTTGATTTCATATTATACATAATCTAGTGAGCTTGAGTTTACAGAAGAAATGCTGTGATGATGATTATTCTTTTTGGTCCATTGCATATATTCATGGCTGACCACAGGTGCTTGATAATAGAGTCATTTTTACTATTTCTTGTAGTTAGTTTAAACCTGTTTATTTCTAACATCAAACTAGAGATAGTTTAAAAGTTTATGAATTCAGTACAAATATCACAGGCTTTTAGGAAAGAGACTCAAGTTGTTGGAGATTTTCATCATTTGGCACCCCAAAAGCCCCAATATCTTAGAATAACATCAATTAAATGTGAAAAGCTGGGAGATTTTGACAATGGTCAGAAGATGAGATTTCCTGTCAATATTTATCCTTTAGGAATTGTAGCAATTAAAACAGGCAGGAGAAGATAAGCAAAGGGTGTGGGAAGAACACAATTTACCCTCATCGCACCCTTTCCGCTATATTAGAAATTCCCTCTACTCTGAAGCCTGGTATCACTATTAATAGACTACTTCCACAAAGTATCAACCATCATC